ACCCCTGTAGTCTATTAATGCGCTTCAGGATGAACTTGTCGAAGAATCAACTGATAAACATTACATCTTTTGCTATTATAATTTGTTGTATAATTTGCACAATGGTTCTTAGGGGAATAACAAAGCAAAAGCACAATATAATCATAAGTATCATACATTTGTATTTTTTTTCAGCACTGTTCGTCGCCACATTGTCTTGGGACTGGAACTTGTGACGTCCCATTACACATTTTGACTGAGAGCAAGACAACCAAGGATTTTCCCAATGAATGATTTCAGCAAAATTCAGGGAGACATACTTGACAGCGGAAGCCATTTCGGGAAAACACCGCGACTGCGAATGTGACGCATCAAGAAACACTTAGGCCTACAGAGACTGACATATTAGATGGCAGACTGGGATTTCCCACACGCCAATGGTGCTGCTTCTGGTGCTGGGACACCCAAGTTCAAGGTCATCCTGCTGGGGAACTCCGGTGTGGGGAAAACCTCGCTGTTTCTGCGCATCCGAGACGATGAGTTCACCTCTGAACTACCATCCACAATCGGCATAGACAGTTGCACTCGGAACCTCAAAGCGGAGAACCAGCAGATACAGGTGAAGGAATAAACAACGTTTCACAATTTGCAGTTTTGCTACCGTCCCCCAACCTCGCCGCCCCCCTCCTTTCCCACCGTCCCCCCTCCCCTCCCACCCCTCCCCCCAACTGATGCTTGTGAGTTTTTCTGTACATGTATCATCTTCCTCTTCTAGAGGGTGCGGTGGCGGAGCGGTTGGTGCGCTCGTCTCCGAACAGAAAGTCCGGGTTCAAGCCTCGGTTCGGATTTGGATTTTTTTCGCCTCCTCCTGACCTCCCAGCGGGAATGGGTACTTGACTTCAAGTTGGGGAAGTAAAGGCGGCGTGGAAAGGAACTGGCCACCCTACCACAATATGCCGAAGGCCCAGGAAGTTGTCTGACTAATAAGGCAATCCCCACCAATGTCCGGATCGGATGCGGAAACAACTTTATTTTACTTCCTCTTTCTCTCCCTCTTCCTCCACTTCTTTCTCTTCCTCGTCACAAGCACCATGCAGCGCCATCCTCACCAAATCAAGCTTTTCTCTACC